AAATAATATAAATTTTCTTACTATAGTTGAGATAATTACAATAATAACTCTCGTACATTATTTATTTTCAATTATATCCCTATTTTTATTGAATAAAAATAATATTTTTTTATAAATATATTTATTTCAAGTCGGGTCGGATAGAGTTCATGTTTTATCTCAAAAAATGGAGCCGGTTTGGGTCAGGTGAAGTTACCCCTAAACTCGGGTCAGATTTCGAGTGAAAGGTATATCATTTTGAGTCGCATCGGGTTGATCAAAAACCTGACCCGACCCATGCCCTTCCCAATCATCGTCAACACATGATTCAACTCTCCAAAATAGAGGGTTTTTTTATAACTTAAATGAGATATTTAGGGTCAAAATACTCTAGAAAAAAGTATAAAAACCAAAGTGATTATTTATTAAATGCTAGTATTTTTATCCTAAATAAAAGTTAAAAAGCTAAAATGGTTAAAAAAACTAAAATAACTACTTTGACAAATCATAGAGTACTGTTTAAAAATACTAAGTAACATACTTGCAGGTACGAAGAGAGCAACCTGAAGGTGGGGAGGAAGAAAATAAACTTGATGTTTGTAGGAGACGGAAAGAGTAAAACAATAATAACAGGTGGCAAAAGTTTTTACGACAACATCACCACATTCCACACTGCTGCCTTCGGTAACTTTATTTTACCCCTTACATGTTCCTTTTCTTGGATAAATAAATTTGTTTGGATGTAAAAAAATATGACTTCAGTATTTAGTTAAATAATTATTTTAATCTTTATTTTTTTTATTATTAATGTTTCATTTTGAAGTAAAGACGTTGATCCCGTAGATGAAAACAATTGGTCAACAAATGATCAATTCTCTGTTTTCCCCTCGTTCTTTTCAGCGGCAACCGGCTCCGGTTTCATTGCAAGAGACATAACATTTGAGAACTGGGCTGGACCAGCCAAGCACCAGGCAGTGGCACTACGCATCGGGGCAGACCATGCTGTAGTATACAGATGCAACATCATTGGCTACCAAGACACATTATACGTTCACTCTAATCGTCAATTTTACCGTGAATGTGACATTTACGGTACGGTTGATTTCATTTTCGGTAACGCCGCCGTGGTGTTCCAAAACTGTAGCATTTACGCCCGGAAGCCGATGCTGTTTCAGAAGAACACCATCACGGCACAGAACCGGAAGGACCCGAACCAGAATACGGGCATATCAATCCATGCATGTCGGATCCTACCGACGCCGGATCTGGCAGCCGCCAACGGTAGCTTCCAAACATATCTAGGACGCCCATGGAAGTTGTACTCTAGGGCAGTATTCATGTTATCGTATATGAGTGACCACATTCACCCAAGGGGATGGCTCGAGTGGAACGCTACATCTCCGGTGGATACGTTGTACTACGGCGAATACAAGAACTATGGACCGGGTGGGGCAATCGGCCAACGGGTGAGATGGCCGGGATATAGACTTATCACTTCAGATATTGAAGCAGCCAAATTTACAGTGGCACAGTTTATTTATGGATCGTCATGGTTACCATCAACTGGAGTCACTTTCTTAGCTGGCTTAGAAGTTTAATGTAATTATATAAATGTTATATTCTTCTTTTTTAAAAAAGTTTTTAATTGTAGGGAATATAATTACACCTACTTTTTGTAATATTACATAAGTCTCGCTATTATATTTGTAAAAATTTAAGAGAAGTTTAATTTACCTGAGATTTCTCTTCGGAATAAGATTATTTAAATATAAATTATTTAAAATTAAAAGATATTGATAGGAAAATTCATAATTAAGGACAATATTTAGGGATGGGCATAGGTCAGGTTGGTCAGATTTTTGGTTCACCCGACCCGAGAATAATGACTCATCCACTCGAAATTTGACCTGATCTGAAATAATAAAAAATATTATTTTTATTCAATAAAAACAGTTATTTAATTGAAAAAATAATATATAGATGAGTATTATTCTAATTATTCCTAAATATATAGGGTAAAATTCTAGTTTTTATGGGTCGTGTATTTTTCACCCTAAATCTGATTCCGACTCAACCCGAACCCAATTTTTTTTAAAAAAATCCGACTCGATTATATTAAGTCATATCAAAATCTGTCGGGTTCTGTCCATGTCCATCCCTAACAATACTGGGGTGCTGACAGTGGCTTTGACCAAATGATAAATTGTTCACTAAATATTTTAAAACTATTATACTTTTTAATAATATGAGTAAGTATAAGATATAAATTTTATGTAATCTATTTATCTTTAAGAATTATAAATTTTTTGAAATTATAACATTTTAAATAAATATAATCGTAAAATTATATTTCTCCTCTCAAAAATGATATTTTATAGTTATTATCTTTAAAAAAATAAAATTTTAAATTAATATAATATTAGGTTTCCATTTTTGCCTCTTAAAAGATTCTAACTTAACTGTTCTCTCAAAAATTACCCGAGCTCGTCTTCCATGTTCTTGTTCCATTGGACTCTATATAAAAATATATTTAAAATATTATATTATTATCATCATTATTATTATATTCAATAATATTTTTAAAAGCAAATACACATATTATTATATATATATATATATATATATATATATATATATATATATATATATATAGGGATGGCAACGGGCCGGGTATTGGTCCCGTCCCTATCCCCGTTTAAAAAACACGTACTCGTCCCCGCTTAAAAAATTACAGAGATTTAAACGGGGATCCCCATCGGGTAATCAGGAAAAACCGCGGGGAAACATATATCCCCGTTTAGCATAAACGGTTATTTAAACGGGTATCGGGCCGGGTATATATATATATAAATTAAATATATAAATATTATATATATATTTTAATTTAAATTAAATTTATTAATATTATATATATATATATATATATAATATTTTTTTAATATTTATCGGGTCAAGTATCGGGCCGGGTAATCGGGGTGGGGATTACCAAACCCGTCCCCGTCCCCGTTTAACATAAACGGTTTTTCCCCGTCCTCGTCCCCGTACCCGTTTATCATCCCCAAACCCGACCCGTTTAATTCGATTTTCGATTTTCCCGGTCTGGTTCGAGTTTTTTTTGCCATCCCTATATATATATATTCATATCATGTTTAATATTTTCAAGTATTAATAAAAATAATCTAAAAAATAATCATCACAATGAATAAAGTGTTTCAAGTAAACCAAACAGATATATGTGAAAAACATAAAAAGAGAATTTTGTTTCATATTTTATTTGAAATAAAGGTGTTGGTCAGGTTCATGTCTGATTTCGGAAAAGAACCAATCACTAGCTAGAATCAACTTTTTCTTCTCCAAATTATTTATTTTTAATTTAAAAATAATTTAAAAATAATATATAATTTAATTTAATTTATTTAAATTATATATGCAGATCGGATTAAATGAACCATCTAATCGTTGAACATATCTAATTTTAAAAGAATAATCATCTTTAAGGAAAAAAATAACAATATCCTCCATAATTTTACTAGTGTTTATTATTGCTACACATATATTATCATTATCAAATAATATTTTATTAAATGAAACGGGTTAATGTTTTTTCTACTATTAGCACTAGCACAAGTAGTACAAAGAGAAGAACCGTGTTTTTATTAAAAAAATGGTAAATTATATATTTAGTACATAAACTATAAGTTTTGATCTGTTTTAGTACTTAGGCTTTCATATTTTTTTTCTTCAAAATCTTACCTAAAGTTTAGTTTTTGTTTCATTTTAGTACCCCATTCAAAATTTAACGTTGAATTTTGAAAAATTGAAAGTTTAGGCATTAAAACAAACAAAAACTGATAGTTTAGGTACAAAACGGTTAAGTTTTTACTGCTGGATACTAAAATGAAATGAAAACTAAATTATAGATATGATTTTGAAAAAAATAAAAGCTTAGACATTAAAACGGAGATACTAAATGTGTAATTTACCCTTAGAAATTGTATATGGACAGGGGATGCTGTTTTCATTTCTACTTATAGAGTCCTTACATAGTGAAGTAAGTGTTGTACAGTGGTGGTGTCGGTGAATGAGTAGAGAAGGGCAGTGAATTGAATTTTGGTTGGTGACAAAGTCAGTGCCCTGGTCCACAGGTTAGAAAAAACATATGGCTTTGTCCCGAATGCAGAGAATTTGGTTCAAATACAAGCTTGTGGTGTTTGATAAAGTTGCGTTAAAGTTGGATCCAATTTTGTTGTTATGTAGGTAGAGGGCACCAAAATCAAAGGATGGTGCACTTTTCACAATTGGCAGGCTAAAGAGCCTAGAGTGCAAAGCCAGCTGTGCTGGAATAATGAGAAAATGACCCAACACCATTGAGGTTTTATATAGTTAAAGTTATTTTTTCCATTCTAGGGTTGGACCTAATATAAAAGGAATAGTTGTTATCCTTAGAAGTTACGAGTTCAAGTACCAACGAGTGTAGTAGGATGATTGAGCGTTCATTGTTAAATGATTAAAAGTATTTCGAACAGATACTATTTTGTAATCACTTTAGCTTAATAATAGAGAAAAAAGAGTTGGACCTAATTTGATTAAAAAAAAAGAAAGAAAATTTCTAGCATGCACAATTAGACGTTCTTGCAAAATTTTGTGAATCTGTTCTGGATCCATACCAGTTCTCAACAAAAAACACAAAGGAAAAGTAGTGAAAGGGATACTTTGTGGCATGCTTATCCTGTCACTTTTGGAGCAAACCATACCAGATGTTGCATCACATGCCTGATCTTTCATTTGTCTCTATCCAAAACCATTCCTACAATGCATCATCTAACTTTCTTGGAAACAAAGTTAATATTATGCACATAGCTATAACCAAACAACATAATTTCACCAACACTATTTGTTATTGTAAAGATTGCTTAAAGGCGGTTCAGGTTTAGGGTTCACAAACGCGGTACACGAGAAAGTTAGAAGATATATGAACAAAGTGAAAATGATGATGGAAACACAAGCTCTAGCAGCGTCCCATATATTACACAGAACTTATGTAATGACCACTTAACTAAAACTATGGACTACCATCATCGTTCTGCAGTAGATTTGCATGTAGAAAATGCATATATGTAAAGGTACCTAGCTAATCGCCTCACGGCTTATGGGGTTAGTTCATCGAGATGCTGATCCATGATCAATGCCACAGTTTCGAAGAATGCACCATCACTCATTCCTGGGACCAGAGCTTCCTCTGCTTCTCTAATGATCTGCTCAATCACCGACTCCTGTTTCAGTGTTTCCCTGCACATGATTCTTCCAATGGAAAAGGGTGTGAGTCCTCTCTCAACGCCTTTCTTCAGAAGCATGGTGGAAATGCGAAATGTGCGTGCACACTTTGGCGGCATGTCCCATCCATGAAGCTTCAAAAGTTCAATGTCTTTTTCAGCATCCAGCAACTTAATATAATTAATGACATTAGGTGAATAAGGTTCTTGAGCTTGAGGCCAGTAGAGCCAGTCAAATGTGCAATCCTCAAACTGCAGAAAAATAGATAAAGGAAACGAATATGAATGCTAAAGGTAAAATAGATTTACCGACTTGTCACGTAAAACACAAGGATTTCAACTTTAATATAGAACCAAGAGTTCAAGTACTAAATGGCTGTCCCTTGTTCCCATATGTAATGGGGTAAGGGGGAGGTAAGATAGTAGCCTGCCCCCAACACCAGGTTGAGAGCAACTTCCGTAGAAGACCTCCGAATTATGAAATACTCTCCGTGGGACTCGATCCCACGACCTCAAGATTAAGAACCTTATGCTCTACCAACTGAGCTGGATAGTCATCTCAGTTCAAGTACTAAAAATAAAGCAAATAATATGCATAGCTATAGGAGGCTTATGTGGCCATAAGATCACTAGACAGCTAAACCATAAACTACTTTTCAAGCTTATGACCAGAACATAGCCAAGCAAATCCAGTAGGGAAGGCAACAAAAATTTTGCTCTCAAAATGAAGGGTCACATACTTGGATGTAGCATTTTAGTCCTCGAAAGTGAAAATGTAAAGTGAGGGCCACAAAGCTATAAACTGTATGAAGGGAATAAAAATCTAACAAAAATGCTAAAGTTAAGAGTGTTAGGTTCTTACATTCTCAGGCATGCAGTAGCCATGATCAATGGGAACAAGTGAAACTCGGTCTTCCTCGCAATTTCTTGTGACTAGTATGTTTCCAGCATGCCTATCTGCATTTGCCAACCTTATGTCCAACACAGAGATCTTGTGAACCTCTTCTACTGGGAAAGCACGAGGGCCCATATCTTCACAACTTCCAACATTATCAATAAACATCTGCAGTGATCCAATCTTAATATACTTGGAATCATACTCATAACCTTCAGGGTGATTGAACCCTCTATGCAGACACTTGACCATAACAGTAGGAGGAACCCCGGCAAAGCCCTTCTCTCCATTACCATAAGAGCGAGGTCCAGGTATTGGATGATCCAAAAGGAAAGCTGCAACTTCCCTTGGTGCTCCTTCTCCAACACGTGTTCCTTTCTTCAACCCTTCACCATCTAGCGATAAGGGGAGGCCACGAGGGTTATTTAGAGCCATTGGCTCTTCATCAATAGGCTTAAATACTGCGATATACTTCCGACCCGATGAGTCTTGCATGAAGTAAGCTCCGCCTGAACCTTCTGAAGACCGGATAGGGCTATTGCCTCTCTCTAGTCCATCAAAAGTTAGGTCAATTAGTTCTTTAGTAACTAACGGCAGTTGAACCTTAGAATTAACAGCCAGAGGCTCCAAAATGAAATCTCTCGGCAGTATCGTCCTCTCCCTGACCTGATGCTTTACAGAAGGTGTGCTGCCAAGGAAATGTCCCACGGCATCTGGCTCCTCATTTAAAGGTGATGTCTCGATGGAAACTTCAAAATCTCTTTCAATGGTTACAGCACGTACCTGAGCAGACTTTCTAACCAGTAAGTTAATCATTGCATCATTATTTTTGCAGATATCAGTAATTAGTCTCTGATCTTCAAGCTCCTCACCATCACATACCAGTTCCTGATCCTTGAGATTAAAATATCCTTTTCCCTTCTTAGCAACTTGTTCCTTCACATATGCCACATTTCTACCCCTTGCAATGTGAAACTCAAGCTTCTTACCGCATACAGTCCTAACAGTGATAGCCATGAGATCTGAAAACTTTAACACCAGATGCAATACATTCCCATTGGCAATCCCATAGTCCTGGACACGAGAATTATTCCGAGCTAGTTCTCTCCCTTTGAAAACTAGCATCTGCTTCCTCACAAAAAACCCTTTCGAATTCTGAATTCTCAGCTTCACAGAAGCAATGGAATCGGACTCCATTATGCGCATGGGAATGATAGACCCAGTGACAGAGAGAAAAATTAAGATTGAGTCGCTTATAATCTGTCCATATCTAGACGGAAAATTTTCATTGGAAGCAGCAGACTTTTCAATTGCAGGGCTTAAAGCTACGCTGGTAATCGACATTGTCTACCCTGCAGAAAATTTACATTAAACTAAAACTTGTAAAAACCAAACTCCAATGGAAATACTCTCAAACAATGCAACGGGAAAAACTTTAATCAGAAACAGTCGGAGCTTATAGTAAGGTTCCAAGAATCCTAGTTTACTCCAAAGATAGAGAAGATATTTAGTATCCATTTTCACTCCCAGTTTTCAATAGCATACTGATATAGTCGACTATTATTGCAGTTTTGGATTCGAACTCCCTACCTTCAAATTAAAAGGTAATCAGGCATTATGAGTACCATCAGCCAGCATTTGAGTCTGATGGAACAAACCAAAAGTCGAAAACTAGTAAACCTAACTCAGAGTTGGGGAATTATAACATAAATCACAGTCGAAAAGAAATGTACAAAATAAGAAAACACACATTCCTTTAACTTTTTTCACTCTATCCGTACTAGTAATAGAAACTAGGGATTCAAAAAGCGGCCGCTATATAACAGTAGCAGCGGAAGCCAAAACCGCTATTGCGGAAAATAGTGATGTGAACTGGAATAACACCAATAGTGTGGATCACGACCGCAATTTAACATGTAGCAGCCGATTGCGACAATAACGAGCCGCTATTCCCTCTATTCTATATTTTTCCCTAAAAGTCAACTCCTTTTAAAAACAATCAACTCCTTTAAAAAAATTTAGGATCACGATACTTGCAATGATCATAATAACATCCGTCATATCCACAACCACGACAAGCATAATTAAGAGTCTAAGACTTGAAATAATAGTTAAAGAATATAATTTTCTCCCTATAATTCTCGTTCACAATTCTCAGAAAGAAGGAAAAAGGCATAGCATACATAGAATCTTGAAGAGGTAAGTTAAGAATATCAATGATTTTGCAAACATTTCATCGGATCTGATTATTAAGCCAAGCAATTTGAGAGATTTTAAGCTAAGAATGGAATGCAAATAAAAGTTACGATTTAAGTACAAAAAAAATGCGAAATTAAAAATGATGGTACCTCGTACCTGAAGAACTCAGTAATGGGGAAAAGAATCATCGTCGTTGATTCTATGTTTCCAATAACCCAAGTTTAACTCTCTATTTATTTTTGGTTTACTAAAAAAAATAATTATTACATCCTAAAAGACTGAATTACCCCTACTTTCAGTACCCTTTAATACCATTGAGGGAACATTTTCAAATTTTCAAATGGCTTCACGCTGTTAAACCGACTGAACTGTGCAATCATATCCTTTGTCTTTTATGTGATTGTTGAATAACATCCGAATAATCGTTTGTAATGTCATTTTTGATACGTGCAATATGTTCTCGACCAGCTATGGACTTGGACAAAATGTACGGAGTCAACAGAATCGAGCGCATATTAGGCCCAGAAACACAGAATAGTTAGCGATGTGGGACTCACGAGAGACCTTTATACTCAATTGACTACTTCAGAGATCTGATTTAATAATTTTAGAAGATTAATATCATGATTTATTAATTTGGTATGGGATATCTATTATTTGAGACAGACTAAGTCCGAACGATTGATCAACAAAAGAAAGATGTCCACCGATGTAATATAATAAGAAGAGAGAATCACCCTGATTTGCGTTCATCAACATTGCTCATACATAACAGTTAAACATGGTCGTTACCATTTACCCCATTGATACTTCCAAATTTACCCACCGATGTAAAATGAATCGTCCCAAAATTAGTGTCAGCTTATTATGTACATTGTACAATCAAGTTACATCTACGTATTCTTCACCATCATCATCACATGCCGGCAGCAACCGAAGGAAGAAGCTCCGTTTCTACCTCGACCTCAGCCTGCTCCTTATCACTTCCCTCCACACTTGTCTGCAACAACACATAATTTTCAATATACACAGGCAAATCCTGGAATAAACTGCAAAGTCGACAAATTCACACACACCTTCAACTCATTCGCTTTATGTTGCGAAAGGTAACGGTCGAATGCACCTTTTCCGTAAAGAATCTTTGCTCCACTTCCAATGGCCTCCTCTCTACTACTACTGCATCTATTATATCATCACCGTTTCTAAAATCCGGTATCTGCACTCACAGGTTTAAGAAAATCAATACAATTGAAGCTGGCATTAAGTAATCGAATAGTAACCATATGGTACAGAGATACAATCCGGGTGACCCCTTCTTTTAACTCCGATATAGGCGGAGGATGCATGTTTCTTTGAACTCCAGGAACCTAGAGCCGAGACTTTCTAGTGTATTTCTCCAGGTCTCCAAAGGCATGCCCATGAAAGTAAAGGTGGCTATGACGTAATTTGATTTGACTTTAAGGAAAGATCAAACCAAACAAAAATATATAGGCTTCTAGATATTTGAATCCAAAACAATCCAAACTACAATGAAAACCAAATCGAACTAGATGAGATAATTTACTTTGGTTTGGCCTTAAAACAATGTTTAATTAAATCATGGGGTAAAAAGCATACTTTTAGTGTAAACAAGGACTCTCACTTATGGTCATAACGTCTCCCTCGGGGATTCGTTAGACTTAAAAAAATTAATTCGGGTAAGACAATGAAATATAATTTTGAAAACAATTTGATTTTGGAGTCGTTACCAACCTTTAAGTTAGGTAGATCGAAAACCTAAAAAAATGATCTAAGTTTTACCAAAAATTCATTTTTAAGAGTTCCGGAATCGATTACGTGTAAACAAGGACTCTCACTCATGGTCATAACGTCTCCCTCGGGGATTCGTTAGACTTAAAAAAATTAATTCGGGTAAGACAATGAAATATAATTTTGAAAACAATTTGATTTTGGAGTCGTTACCAACCTTTAAGTTAGGTAGGTCGGAAACCTAAAAAAATGATCTAAGTTTTACCAAAAATTCATTTTTAAGAGTTCCGGAGTCGATTACGTGTGAGGAAGGGTGAACACCCCCACAACGCCCAAATTTTTTGTACCTAAATGATTATTGAGAATTACAAACAACTAAAAAGTGTCAATTTCCAAAACAACTAAAACAATAAGTGCAGTGGGTCAAAATAGTGCTTCTTTAATTTTATAGTTTAAAATATATAATGTTATAGTGAATTATAGAAATGTTCGGATAACTAATGCCCTTTTGTGTGAACAATCCTCAGAAATGCACTTCCTTTATAGTTAGGAGAATTTTCCATAGATTCCCCCTCATAAATGACATCATTTCACATTTTCCACAAAAATAAAATAAACTAAAATAAAACAAAACAAAATAAAATGAAAATGAAAAGAAGTAAAACAAATCAAAATAAATAAACGTAAAGCAAAGAAAATTATCGAATAAAAAACCTTTGTGTGAAAAATCCTTGAAAAGATACATTCCTTGTAATTGGGAGATATCTCCGTAGATTTCCCTTACAATGAAATTTACTCATTTTCATATATTAGAAAACAAGGATGATTTATAAAAAACAAGGTAAAGTAATAATACCAATGTGCACATAAATAAGGGACCAAAATGACACTAACAAAAACTTGAAAGGCTAAACAATAATTACAAATAAACTAGAGCCAAGATTGCATAAATTAAATAATACAGGTGCTGGAAACTAAAATAACCCATAAATAATATTAAGGACTGTAATCAAACAAACCAGAAACATAAAGGGGCAAATAATAATTATACCTAAATGTATTTATATTAAATAATGACTAAAATAAAAGAATCATAAAACACAGGGCCATATTCGAATATTAAGAAATAGTGCATAATAAATATACTAGTGACTTAAATGTAAACGCTAAAAAATAAAGGCTTAAAATGAGATAACACAGAACTTCAATAATGACTAAAACGAGAAATTACAAATGAGGACTTACATTGCAATTGACCCTTTTCTCTAAAACACGCGGCCTCTCCCACCTATACGACACCGTTTCACTTAACGTATAAATGGCCCAGAATGAACCCTAAACCAACCATTTACTCCCATTTGCTTCATTTTTTTGTTTCAAGGGAGAGAGAGAGAGAGAGCCAAAAACTCTCAACTCTATCTTCTGCCTCTCCATTTTCCCACCATGGGGGAATAACCAAACATCACAACTGTCGTAAATCGATGGCGACTGCGGGGTAATCGAACCCCTAAGACCCCATTCTTCTCATCTCCTCCTTGTTCTAAATCAAACCCTCTACCCCTCAACACCCTAAACAAACACCAAAAAGAACAATGACTCTTTTTACCTTCGGTAAGGCTTTTCCTCCACTCCGATGAGAACCACGACCTCAATCTGCAAGGAAAGGTAAGACTCTCACTCTGTTTTTTCCTTTTTTCTTTTTTCTCTTTCATTTAATCTTTTTTTAATGCTCTCCCCTTGATTTATGTTATGTTTTTGGTTTTTAATCTTAGTTTGGTGAGATGATGATATCTAGGGCCAGTGTATGACTTTTTTCTAATTTCTTTGGTAAAAATCCTGATTTTACGAGATTTATTGGAATTATTCTAATAGGTTTTTGGATTTTGGTTGATTTTTCTCTAACTTTGTGATGTTTTGCAATGTTCGGAGTACGTTGATGACGATGGCAATGGCTTACGTGACTGAGGAGGCTATTGGTGGGGAACAAGTGCGTCCGGGAGTTGAAACATTGGGCGTGTGTACCACACATACCGGTGATGGACGATCCATCTTCTGGTCGGTGGGGATTACTGTGAGAGAGAAGAAACCCTAATATGTTTAGGGTTATCAAGCTAGGTTTGGGGTTGGGTCAGATATTGGGTTGAGTTTAGGGTTCTTGATAGGCTATAGAGTGAGCTTCGGGTTGATGTAATTGGACTGATTTCTTTGGGTTCCATTCGGGCATGTGTAACCTATAAAGTGATAATAATAAAATTAAATAATAATGATAATAATACTAATAATAATAATAAAAAAAGGACATGGACAAAAACGAGTGTCTACAGTTGACCCTCTTTGCCCATTCTTGTGTTAACAAGAATAGGGCAAAGACGAGAAGCCAACAAGTTTTTATCCGGTTCTCTTT